ACACACACACACACACACACACACACACACACACACACACAATATATATATATATATATATATATATTCTGTTTATACCGGTCGGCTTGGTAAGTAACGGACGAAAATTTTGTGTCCCTTTTGATTAAAAAACCAAGATTTTATTACATTTAACATTCTTAATTCATAAAGTTTAATGCACACAGTACTCACAATATTTTACTCAGGTGTTAGCAATCATATTATATATCCAGTGGCTAGGAAAATTGAATTCGCTTTAACACGATTTTAATTATAACGTAGATTTTCAATGATGCAGTAACGTGGGTACGCACAACTTGACTACGGTGAAGTTAAAATTCCCAATAACAGTTTAAATGTTATATTTAGTCGCATTTTATAGAGCAGTATGTTCTGTTACGTTGAATTGTTATTAAAAAGCTCCATAAACACAAGTTATAACTCAAATACCTTATACTTTAACAATTTAATGTCATCCCGATATTTAGCGCGTATTTTAAAACTTGCGTCTGCGTTTCCTTATATGTATAGCGACGTGTGAAGCCAGGGCGTACAGCAAATGATTTATGACAATAACTATGGCTATTTGACTGAATTGAATTTATGACTGATTTATGACAATAATTTCTTGCCGATTATGAAACAACGGATTTTTGTGAGAGACGACGGTTAAAAAAGTCAGCAAACGGTTTAAAACAAATGCATTAAACACTTGTATAATCATGCCCCAATATTTTCACCATATATCTTTTAAGAAGGGCAGAATTTATGTAATCATCTGCAGACAATCGTTGTCACATCTCCACTCAGGGCAGCAGCTTGGATAACCCGTCTCTGGTGTTTCATCTGTGAGCGTGCAACACTGCTCCATGGCGGGTGTTACAGGCTTTTCTTCCCACTGTAACCACCTCGTGGTGCAGCTGAAATACACGATATAAGCATAATGATAATGCAAAAGTATATATAATACATACAGACTCCGTGGCTTTTTCAAGGAAGACTTTGGTTAGGTAGTTTGCATAGTTATGGTCTAAAATTGGCATTAGATTCGCGCGCACGCGCACGCACGCGCACACACACACGCACGCACACACGAGCGCGCGCCCCCGCGCACACATGTATTTACAAATGTAAATAAATATTCATGGATGCGTACTCGTTATACTACAACTAGTGATTGTAAATTATTTGATGTATAGACATACCCGTAAGCACACTGCATGCGTTGCATGTAGTCCCTACTACACACAACTATAGTAAAACAACAGCATAACAATTACTTGACTTACTATTGACAGTGTAGGTTATCGGTTGGTGGAGCGCAAATACATATCTCGCATGTTCCCTCCGGAGTGAAGCTGTCACCCAAGCGGTACTCCATGCCATTTGCCGTGCAGGTGTCTTCTTTACAGAGTCAAGAATACATATTAGCCGCATCTTTAATGCACAATACTTGACTTTAGTCTCTAGTCTTGATTCAACTTTGAATGCTAGTTATTACTTTTCGAAACGAAACGCTAAATGGCTGCATTAATCGTCTATAAAGTGTAAAAAATGATGCTAGTTTATTAAGCGAAAATACAGGCCAGTATTGAAAACTAATCAGGTACACTCTATATAGTTAAGACATACCGTCGTTGACATTGGCAACCGATGTAGCCCGAATCAGAGTCACGGTTGTAAGCAGCGTGATTATTCCTGTGAGTCTCATCTTGGCTGTGGTCCGAGGTGCTGTGGCTGTGGCTTGTATCGTAGCTGCATATAATTATACGACCGTATTTAATTTGATACGTCTAAACCCGCATGCATGCACCACTTACGCCTTGACGATATTTTTCCCGTATAATATGCGTCACATTGTAGCGCTGGTATTACTCGCATGAAAAACTGACTCTGGTTAACTCTGGTTAACTCTGGTTAAACGGAGCCCGCATGGACAGCTTTCCGGACACTCGAGTGCTTGGATAACTGACCACGAAGTCTCGAATCTAATCGAAACACAGCTTCGCCGGTTATTGAACAACTGAATGCTGGTCGAAATGTCAAATGACATAGTAGCACACATCAGTGTAATGAAGAGATTTCTCTCTCATATACATGTACTCTGTGAGAGGCTCGTGTCGATGTATAGTGTATACCGTAACCCTAGGCTCTGCTATGGTACGCGTACATTAATTAATGTACCCTAAGGTCAGCATAAAATAATAGACAAACACAAAGTGTACGTACAACAATATATATATATTTCTTTATCACCAAACTATAGTCAACTAGAGCACTCGGAGAGCGCAGACCTCCGCCAAGTACAGTGATGATATCATCGTATGAGCGACATAGGGCTCATACATATTGACCTGGTTTCACATTGCAGTTCTACGTTTGCTGGTGCTGGTTTCAGTTTGTTACAATTGGCGAAACTTATGATAAAATGTACCTGGTTTGCGTTTCTTATCGAATGGCATTGCAGCATTTGTTAACACCTACAAGCAATATTGCAATGATGACAATTTTTATTAATTTTATTAATTAATTAATTGATTAAATAATTAATTGGAATTAATTAATCAATGCTATAAGTTACCTCATTTCTGACCTATCCTGAAAATTTAATTAATTAATTAATTAATTGGATCCGGATCACCACCAAAGTGTAATTAATGCTAAGTTACCTCATTTCAGACCTATCCTGAAAATTTTATTACAATCCGTTCATAAATTTTTCAGTTAGGCTCTACACAAAGAAACCCACAAACGCACGCCGGTGAAAACATAACCTCCTGCCAACCCCTTGGCGGAGGTAATAATATTGGGGCGCGTCGAGTTAGTAAAACAACAACAGTTAGTCACACAAATACAATCCGTAAACCTGCGTTACGTCTCGTAAAGTACATAGAATGCACTACGTGTTTATCATATAATTACCAACAGAGTTTATGTATACGATAAAAAGGAGTTTATCACAAAAGTACTATGTTTAAAAGAGTTTAGAGAAAAAGCACGGCAATACGATAAAACACGAATACGATAAGACAATCCTATTGATACATACCACAGGGAGAGCCAGAGGTTGGTTCTACCGTCTATCGGAAAGTTGTCTCTATATATACCATTTTTCACTGACCACGTGATTTAACTAGGACCACGAGTTTTGGCAGTGTATGTTAATTAGTTTCAGAGATATGCCTAGCCTTGGTCAGCTTGACCACTAGTCCTTGGTCGTACCAATTGTTTGTAGGCTAATTACTTATTTACGATGTCGACCTTGCTGCTGTTTGTAAAGCTAGCAAGGGTTAATTTCTGGCCTAGGCGCGTCCCATGCTTGTCAATCATTTCTTAATCACCTTCTTTCCAACGCGCGGTTTTAACTTATAATAACTTTCGCTTCATTACATCAGGGCACCATTGCGAAAATGTGCACATAGTAAAACAGTGTATCGCCTTTCATTGTATTATGTAGTGGGCCTACCGTGCATACGGCAGGTGATGAGTAAAACAAAAGGTATACGCCCTACCTTGGCTAATAGGCTGACTCGCCACTTCTCTTTTCACACTTATTCTTTACTTCCGCTTTCTTCTGACGCCTCACCTCCTAAGCAACCGCCCACAAACAAATCTCAATTTACCTCGTTCTCCACCTCCCTATCACCCACCTAATTATCTCCCTCTCTATCGACCTGTCCTCACCTCCGACCAATATCCTTTGCGTTTCTCTTTAGTTTTCCTCCCAATTATTAATCTTCTACATAGATAGGTCTCAGCCACTCACTGTTGCACTGCATTTCCCTTCCAATGTTCATTTTATCGACATCTGGCTTCCTTCCTTATGAACCCACTATTTTTCGGGCTCCAGCTTCTCCTCCACATTCATCCACCTTCAGCCGAGATCTTACCAATTGGATCAGAAAAGCGAATAAGGGACAGAAACCTAATTAGTGTGTGCGTGTGCGTGCGTAAGTGCATGCAAAATATTCAAAAAATTTCAACTTCAACAAACATATAAATATATATTCAAAAAACTTATATTGAAGTATTAAGCTTTATGAGTAGATATTTACAATGCATTGTAGTAATTCATAAACAAAAACATTCCACATTATTATTATTAATATACATATATATCAAATCATAAACATCAATATTATACCAAATAGATTACTTAATATTTTCAAAATGTTTTTGTTGACTCATTCTACTGATATATAAGCATAGATATTTACAATACATAATAATAATAATCCCTAAATAGAAACATTCCACAATCATTATTGATATTATTTATATATTACTATACATATATACATATATACCTATAATCATATCAATTCAATATTACTCAACAGATTAGATTAACATTTACAATACATTAGATTAGATTAGATATTTACAATACATTGTATTATTTCCTGAACAAAAACACGCCACATAAACATTAATAATATTATATATATATTACTATACATATATACATATAACCAGAAGTGAATAATAGAGATATCTATTATTCACTCCTGATATAACCATATCAAATCATGAAAACAAAATCATACACAATTTTAATTTCGTCTCTCATTTGCTTTATGCATTTACTATACTTAAACATATATAATTATATAATATTATGAACATGGTAATGAATATTATATCGAACAAATAACGTAAAAAGCATAAATTTAATTTAAATATTTTCTCTATATTATGCATCTATACTTTCTCCAGCTGTCCTATTTGGTGTCCTGTTTGGTATCCTATGCAATACAATTCCAAATTGTTTTCAAGACATAGAAAGAGCCAAATGTAGGACTACGCACGTGCGTATATTATATATATATATATATATATATATATACACGTGTACATTTATACATAATTCTATTTGTTAGGGAGAAGTTAAAAACTCGGTTAATATCTGAATATATTTTTTGCAAACGTGATACTAAAACGACAGCTTAGTGCAACTAGGCAGTTTATGGTAAGAAATTAGCTCAAACACTAACTTTTGTAACACTATACCTACCTCCACCCCCCTGCTTTCTATGTCATCACGCAGTTTGGCTACGGCTTGAGCATCTACATCTACATCTATAATACTATATAGTTAGGTGGATCTGTCGATAGTGCATGAGAGCACGTCTAGGCTGTTCCAAAACAGAGCATGCAAATGTGTGTATAAATAATCTTGCGTATATACATACGCACGCACGCACGCACGCACGCACTCATGCACGCGCGCGCACACGCTCTCGCGCGCACACATACGCACACTCATACTCGCACGCACATACGACCACCCTAGATACAAACGTAGCTACCAGTATTCAGCTTAGCAGTGACGATTTGACCAGAGATATACACTACAGTAGTGGATTACTGAAATCAATTTAATGCAATGAACACTACATGCTACACGTTTTATGTCTGCGCGCGTTTGAGTCCACGTGCGTGCGTGCATGCATAGGTGTGCGTGCGTGCGCGCGTGCGTGCGTGCTTACGATTTTGCGTGTGCGTTTGCATTTGCGTACGTCTGCCTGCCTGCCTGCGCAATTTCACAAACACCTCGCTCTGCTCAGACAATTCTTCTCGCGGTGGTTTCTAATCCGCTGACAGCGAAGACGACGACGATAATAATATTAGCTGTTCAGTATGCACCGGAATGTAATCATAGTTGTCTCCACGTAGCTGCCAGTTGTTTCCACAATTTTATACTGGCTGGTTTAACATAATGCTATTTATTAACACGTTGGACGTTTTACTATGTGCACACAGTTTGTTGCTATTATACGTATCAGATTAAACTCTCGCTCCTTATTCGTCCACCTCAACAACCTTCTATATACGCAACACAGTGAAAAGGACCCGCGACTGCTAAACATACGATTATATTACATACATATAATTCATGGTTATGGCTACTGTCGTCATTTACAGGGTTATTGTTAGGGTTGGCGTTAGTGTTATGGTTAGGCTTAGGATTAAGGTTAGGGTTAGCGTTAGAGTTAGGGTTGGCGTTAGTGTTATGGTTAGGCTTAGGATTAAGGTTAGGGTTAGCGTTAGAGTTAGGGTTAGTGTGAGGGTTAGGATTAGGGTTAGGGTTAGTGTGAGGGTTAGGATTAGGGTTAGGGTTAGGATAAGGATTATATGGGTTAAGGTTATGCGTTAGTTGCTATGCAATTATTCTGACATAACCACACAGATGTAATGCCCGAATCCAATTTCCTAATCCCCAATTGCGATTCACCAACATTGCAGCAGTACATCCCCAGTACATCACAACTGCATTTTTATTTTCCCAGTGTTGACAGTACCGTTGTCGTCGTAACAGATCTAGACAACAGTGATGCATAGCATCATTTCTCATCCTTACTGCGCGTGTGAATTCTTCCATTGTGCTCATTTCCATGTGCCTCTCACGTATAAGTATCTGTTTGTATGCGTGCGTGCTCGTGCGCGTATATCTGTATGTTTGTATGCGTGCGTGCTCGTGCGCGTATATGTATCTGTTTGTGTGCATGCGTGCTCGTGCGCGTATATCTGTATGTTTGTATGCGTGCGTGCTCGCGCGCGTACAAGTATCTGTTTGTGCGCGTGCGTGCTTACGCACGTACACGTATTCACGGATGTGTAGCGATCTGTTTGCGCACGTATACGTTTTTGGGCATGTACAAGTAAGTACACGTATACTATAACCAGAAGCCAAAAAATCAAACGTAATTTTTGGTCCTGCAGTCTCTGTTTCCTCCATCGGCCGTCGGTGATTTGATGCCTCTATTATGACTGCAAGATAAACACGGAGAATAAACACATCTGCAGTAAATAAATGCTAGGTAGGCGAAATACAAACAACAGAATACCCAGTGTCTTTAAATATATTTTGGTATATAGGAAATAGCAACATGGAAATAAATCAATGTGCGAATATATGTGTGCACACATGTAACGCGTTCCTCACGCTCTGCTATGCTGTTGTTAAAAATTCTCCACACACGTTACGTTCAAGGTTTTCTCCTATATAGGAACAGGGACTTACATATTGGCATCTTGCGAGAAGATATTCTGATATCAGTGCATGCCACTGCCTTTTCCTGTGTAGCCACTTCCGTGTCTTTCGCGTTCATTCACTAGCGGTGTTGTGATGCCACTGACTGCCAAGTCACCTGCTGCCACCTGGTAACAGGCTGTATCAAAAATTTATTCAGCGCGACATAGATGAAAAGCTTCATCACTGGCTACTAGAAAATATTAATATCAATCTTGTAACCTCATAAAGATTCATCTTGCTTATATTCTAAGGCTTGTCTCGAAGATGGAGCTAGTAGATTAGCACGATTGATCAAACTTGTAAGGTACGTGGCATCGCGTGAGGGCTACAGCAAACATTCACTCATTGCCTCGCTCATTTGCACGCGCAATACATTAAGCGGATACGGTTTTTCGGTTAAATATCTTTCGCTTGTATATATGTAAACCTCGACACGCTGAAAAGTCACAGTGAAACCTCGTACTTACCAGTCACAATTTATGATTGAATCAGTGGCGCCATTTCCACGCTCCCTCGGCCACCGGTCGGGGATAACCTTTTGAACTGCAATGAAACAAAATAGAAGGCGATATGAACTATGAGTATCCATTAGAATGGTCTAGTAGGCACTACTCGTTTAGAATTTAGCAGTTCTGATCCGACCTTTAGACGCTATGATTTTTAAGATTAAATTTCCAAAAAACATCTCTGCTTGCATTTAATAAAATTTAGCCATCAGCAATATGTCAGCCATGCAGGAAATTGCTAAAGATAGAGCAGGGAAATCGATAGTGATTCGCTCGAATAACAAGAAAACCCTATATCATACCGGGCGTAGCAGGACACTACCGAGGTCGATGCAATCTCCGATGATGCCCCGGTAGAGTGCTCTTGGAATGACTTCCGACTCTGCTGTTGTTTACTACAAATGCGCCAGCACGACGGAGGCAACCGGTCGACCGGCGTAAGGTTGCTCAGACATTTTCCAGAGTCTTCGCGAGAGGCTTGCATGAGCCGCCACCTGGTGCAAAGCGAGGGCAGGGCCGACCTGAGAGATAACCGGCTATACAATAGAGCGAAGATAGTACAGCTGTGGAACCAGTCATTGCGAGGGCTCACAGTTCCACATGTGGCGGAGACATCATGTGGGGCGACGGCGCACAGGAGCAGAGAAGCCGTCTGGTGCGAGGCACTGACGTGCGAAGTCGATAAAGCACAAACTATATGACGGAGGTGCCGTCCGCCGGCAGGTGACGAAGAACCGTAATGCCGTCGAACGTCGATCTGGAGGTGCGTCTTACGTCGACGGATATGGGCCGTGTGCGCGTAGGGCGCTTCTTCAGAACCTGGCGAGAAGAGCATGCAAGAAACTGCTAACAAGGTTGAGGCAGCAGTGGCCAAATTCAACAGGAAGGACATGGGTCTAGTGTGTGATCGAGTTAGAACATTGAATGAGGCGCGAGGCCTCTCGCCCGTCACTCCGATACGAACAGAACGACAGGCGACAAGAGGTAAAACAATCCGCTGTGGGCCGGTTCAGGTAAGACACCATTCCAATCGGCTTTGCAGTGCATATACACGGTGACGGAAAACTGATCATCGGGGTGGACTTCTTAAATAAACTGTGCAAAAAAGCAGCTCACCTACGCGCTTCCAATAAAAACGTGATCTGTCCAAACCACCATGCACGGCCACTGCGTTCTGCAAACTTGCGTCGCGACGAATCCATTGGGGATGAGAAGTGCTATGCAGGGAGAATCATGGAAGAGCTCGCAAAGGACACGAATCCACTTTTGTGTAAATGTCATGACGACAGATGGCGCGAGAGACGGGGACAGCAATGCGGCGATCGGTCTGCAGGAAGCTGTCGGCAACACGTCTGAAAAGGAAGAATGTGTATTGGATGTGAGAAGTCTCAACGAGAATCGGCGAAAATGCATTTCTAAAACTCACGTTAGCTCGCACACGTTCTCTCGAAAGACTGAGAAAAAAGCGAGAAAACGTGAAACGGCGAGTCGTGCCCGACCCAAGAGGACACTGCGAGGCAGAATATCGAGCGGCGTATATGGCACTGCGAGATAGCTATAGCAAACTCATTGCCTAATCGTGCACGCGTAATACTATAAGCTAATACGTAATACTCTTTCGCTTGCATATATGTAAGCCTCGACACGCTTCAAGGTAACAGTGAAAAAAGTTATCCGTCTTGCCAATCACCATTTATGAATGAATTTCTGGCACCATGTTTACGCTCTACTCGGCCACCGGTCGGCGAAAACCTCGAAATTCGTCGACTTTTTAACTGCAATAAAACAAAATAGAAGGCGATACGAACTACGAGTATCCATCAGAAGGGTGTCGTAGGCACTACTCGTTTATAATTTAGCAGTTCTGAAGTTTACCTTTTGACCCATGATTTTTAAGCATAAATTTCCCAACCACATGTTTTCCTGTGTTTTCAATAAACTCCCCTAAATTCAGTAAAGCACAAACTTTATGACGGAAGTGCCGTCCGCCGTCAGGGAAGAAGAACCACACCGTCGATCACACCGTCACATCGGTCTGCAGGTGGGTCTCACGTCAACGAGAATTGCCTGTGTATGAAGAAGGCACGTCTTCAGCACGATGTATGTACTTCCGCCTTGCAAAAAGAGCATGCAAGAAACTGCTAACAATTAAGGTTGGGGCGGCAGTGGCCGAATCGAACAGAACGGACATGGGTCTTGTGCGCGATCGAGTTAGAACATTGAATGAGGGACGCGGCTTCTCCGCGCGGCTTCTCATACTCAGAAATAATTATTTTTTATTATTTTATAATCTTTATTTTTTGTTATTTTATAATCTTTTTTTCTTTTTTTTTTATCTTTTTTTTTAATTACCTTTGCCAAGGAGGTTATGTTTTTGCCCCTGTTAGTTTGTTGGTTTGTTGGTTCTGATGATTTTTTTTTTGACGAGTTGGTCTTGGGCCAACAACCAATCGATTAGATATTGATGGTGATCAGGATCCAGATCTGGTTCCAGGTTTGTTTTGTTTTTTATTTATATTTACACAAAAAGATGAAAATTCTATATTGGGTGTACCAGCGAGATGGCGGGACTGTTACGCTGTGGCAGAGGTTTGCTATCTCCGATTGCTCTTGTTACTAATTATTTATTAAACTTAGGTACGCACATGATACAACATTCATTTGTATTACCAAGTATCACAACTGAACACATGCGTGTTGAACAGCATATTTCAGACCGAAAACGTTAAAACATGAAAATGTAGCGCCTTAATTCAGTAATATTAAAATATTTGAATTCCAGTAAATAAATTCCAAACCTGTGATAAGCTAACTGGGTCACCTAAGTGCATGCATGCTTATTTTAATGGAAATTAATTAAAAATAGTTAAACTCTGCTAGAATCATATAGTATGATTCTAATAGGTCTGTACATACTTGTAAATGATGTTGTTTCACAATTTACACGCATAACAACCCTAACCAATGGTTATGTGACATAATGAAAAATACCCACTATTAGCATGGGTATATTTTTCTTAAAAGCAATATTCTGCACATGCACGCACGCACCACACACATGCACACACGCACTACACACATGCACACACGCACCCCACACATGCACACACGCACCACACACATGCACACACGCACTACACACATGCACACACGCACCACACACATGCACACACGCACCACACACATGCACACACGCACCACACTCGCACCACACACATGCATACACG